ATTTCCCTGAAGGTGACACACTGGGGAAGTATGGGCCATGAAACAGAAGAAAAGATTCCTGAAAATATAGCCCAGTGGGCAGGCACACACACGTGTGTGTGTGACTATATCAATATCCAAGTGAGAGAGAAAGCAAATTTTCAGAGTGATAGGGTATCCATCAGAGAGAGTGAATAATTGTATTGTTTTCCCCACATGTTTACCATCAACAAGCTTTGAAGTCCAAGGAGATTTATAGGAGGAAGAGTACCATTCAAGTGTGAGCCCAAAGCTCAGACACTTGGAAGTCACTTATAATAAGGGATAGCCTCATGGGGCTATTGTGAGATTCTAAGAAAATGATAGATGAATCAGGGCTTTATAACCCATATAGTGCCTTTAAATTGCAAGGTGCTATACAAACTGTGAAATACTATACAAATATAAGGGATAATGATTATGATTATTTGAGGAGGAAAACATCATTCTAAATATAGTCTGTCACTTGAGAATTAGACAGTAATAAGGTTACTTTTAACAAACAGAACTTGCCTGCTGAAAGACATCTTCTCTCTTTCAAAATCAATAATCTTGATGGGACTTGACATTTATTTCAAAGAGAAACTATTCAAAACATATGAGCCTCCTTTTCTGGGATTAATTTCCTTTAGAACCAGTTTACAAGCCACACAATTATCCCATTAATTTATAGTCACATTGTTTTGAACTTTACATATTATTTAGCTTAATCATTAGTGTTAACGCCAAAAGAATTTTAAGTGTTTTTTAAAAATAAAAATTCACTCCCTAAAGCAATGATTCTTAATCTTTTGTGTGTGTGTTGAGGACCTGCCAAAATGCGTAATACACAGCAGTTTGCATGGGAATCTTCAGATTCCCAGGTAAAGAACTCCTGATCTTCCAAGAGTTACAGAATTCAAATTTAAGAGCTACAGATCTGAGGGCAATTATTTTCTAAACATAAGCAGCAGGCTTAGTGGAATAAATGTTTAGCCTCCCAAAGGAATTGTTTGAAGGAAACCACACCACTGTAGGAATGATCATATGGTATGAACGTTTAAAAATTAGTCCATTAGAGTCATGTGGGGTTTGTGTTGTCATTTCTACAGCTGCAGTGGTTTTGGGGGGGGTGGTGTCTGTGTGTCTGTGTATGTGTGTGTGTGTCTGTGTGTGTGTGTGTATGCTCATTCATTCCTAGCAGGATGCTTAGGCAGCAGCATTTGTCTCCGTAGGTGTTTACCCTCAACTCAATTTAACCAACTCAGTTTAAGAGTCATAGCCTTAGGAAAAGGCATCAATCAGTTGGACTGAAATTGCCCTAGAGGCCCACATGGTTACAGGATGAAGAAAGGCAAGCTTGGCCATCCTTTAGCTGCTCCTGGAGGAGTCCTGGCCAAGAGGGCTTTGGGGCTTACACTGGTGTTCCTTTTATGACACAGAGAGGATTTCTTATGATCCTCTCACAGGCCAGCCACTGTTAGCACCAGACTTGAGATGAACTAATTCACTTAAATCTTTAGAAAACCTCCTTAGAAAGGTAGTATTGTTCTCATTTTATAGATGAGAAAATCAAGACCTAGAAAAGCTAAATGATGAGAAAATTGAGACCTAGAAAAGCTAAATGACTGATAATTAAAGTCAATTAGCTAATAATTAGCAAAGCCAGGATTTAAACTCAAATTTGATTTCAGAGCCCAGGCTCTTTCCACTGCCCAACGCTGTGTCTTCCCACTTATTCCCTGGCCCCTGTGAAATGCCCCTGTAAGCCTCTCCCTCCCTAGAGGGCCCCTGGAAATGAAACCCATACATTTACCTCACAAAGGACAGTGTCCCCGAATGGCCCATCAGACACCTAGGACTGAGACTCATTTGCTTCTACTACTAACTTTCTTCATGATGTGACAAGCTCCTTAAGTTGCCTGGGCCTTGGTTTTCTCATCTGTAAAATGAGAAGATAAAAGTAGATGAAACTTTGAGCTGAAAAATTCAGTGACTGAATTTTGCGCCCTCATTCCATTCTCCCCAGCCAGCCTGCCTCCCTATCCTGTGGGTGGCTTCACAGCTCACCTCTAGGGTGCCACCGTCTCTGACCACCCCAGCACGTACAGCACCTCTTGACACCAACAATACGTACTGCTTGTTGTCCATTTTACACTTATTTAGATCATCTTTTTTGTTTTCCTTCCATATCTTAACTGAACTTATCTGAATTCCTCAAATATTTTTATTTAACTCCTATATAGTGTTCCAATTTATGAATAAACCAATTTATGTTTTAATTCCTCCATTAGAGACAGTTGTTTCCATTTTCCAAAAAAGGTGCTGAGACTATTTTACTTGCCTCCTTGAGTACATGTGCAAGAGATTCTCTAGAGTGAATGCCTAGAGATGGAACTGCTGAGTCACAGGGTTTGTGCATTAGAGATTGCCAAATTGTTCCCTGGAATGGTAGTACCAGCGTATGTTCCCCCTTGCAATGTGTAAGCACTCCATTTCCCATATCCTCACCAATACTTATCAAGCTGAATTTTTTTCCAAAGTAACATTTTGACTGCATTTGTCTTATGGTACTTACCACTTTCTTCTTAATATTTGTTTATATGCTACCTTTTGACTGGACTGTAAAATTTTGTGAGGGCAGAATCCTTGCTTAACTCATTTTTATAATTCTTCCCACAAAATTTATTGAGCTTAGTAAGTACACAATGAAGAGTTGTCAACAAATAAATGATGAGAATTAATTCATCTTGATCCAAGGAGATGGGGAGTTCCATGAGGGTAAGGGTGAGGTATTCTATTAATCTGGGATGAAGATATGGGTAAGGGATCCCCATGAGCTGCAGAGATGATTGCACAGTGGTCACAAGTGAGCTACAGACTAAAGGTTGCAAGGTCTATAACGGACAGTCACCAATCTTTGGAGATCCCCACTTTAGATCAATTTTTTATCATGGTATTCATCAAATATTTATTGAGTGTTGTGAGTGACAGATTTCCCAGCCTCTGAGACCATCTTTATTATGTACCAAGAGGACTGTTTCTGAATGGAACTCCCCTACCTCTGGCCCCACCCCATTACTAAGGGTTGGATAGAATCCATGTGTCCTTTGGACTAGGGTGCTGCACGATCTATGGTAAATTCCTCCCCTTTTTGTCACCCCAGCAGTTCCAGGCTGACTCATTTTCTATATAAGCCACTTGTGGTTTTTGGTCTGACATCAAATGTGGAAGAATGAGTAATTTTTTCAGAACCAGAATTATATTTGATCACAATAAGATACACTGTGTATGTTACTCACGGTTGGGATAAGGGGTCAACAATGTTAACAAGCACTCCAACCTTCTCTTACCTTTTCTTTCCCTGGGTTGGAGGGATAGATAGGTGAAGGAAGTGGGTATAGATGTGAAAAAGTTTTGTGTACATCTCTTATTTTGTTACCACATTATGTACAGTTTAATAAAATTACATCTTGTTCCCTCTGCTAGATTAATAAAAGTAATATAGCAAAGTAGTCAAGGCCGTGAGTTCGGCTACTACACTGCTGGGTTCAAATTCCAGCTCCACCACAAACTAGTTGGGTGACCTTGAGCAAGTTATTGAATCTTGATGTGCCTCCATTTTCTCATTTGTAAAAAAATCACAGTACCTATAGTACAGGCTTGGTTGAAGGAATTAATGATTTTATATATGTTAAGTGCTTAGAATTTTGTCTGGAACTTAGTAGGCAGTATGGGAATGTTAGTAAATATTTCCTTGAACTCATTGCAATGTTTATACTTACATGAAATGCTCAGGAAAAGCTTTTTTTAATGAAATGAATAAATTCTATTAAGACGTATTTGGAATCAGGGGGATAGAAGTGACTACAAGGGGTAGACTCTTGGTTGGAAATAGAAGAAACCATTATAAAGATCAATTCCCTTGAGCATAGGTGTTCCTTACCCCCCATCCTTTTGTTTGGTTTGTGAGTAGTTTGTTCCTTAGTTATGTGTGCTGTGGTTGGAGGAGAGCTGCCACTCCCGGAGGTGTCACTTAATGGGAGGTTCTACTTTTTGTTTTTTAAGTGTGAGAAGAAGGTACAGATCTAGATCCTTGAACCCTGAAAGCATGGGCTGAGGTAAAAAGGAGACCTTAGCACTGGAGAAATTCATTCTCTGACCTCTCAGCATCTACTATAAGAAGATGTTAGCAAGATAATGGCACTGTAAGGAGAGTTAGCAAGATAGTGGCATTTGGATGAGTGTTTTGTTGAGTCAGTAGAATGGGTATCTCATGTAGGAAATTATTTCAATAAAATGTTAATATACTGATTTCTTTTTATCAGTGCAGATGTATTTATCCTCACAGCATTTGTGGTTTGGGAGAACATACTCTTGAGTACCAGAGTCATGAAGAAGTTGGAGTGGACTCCCTCAGAGCCCACCCTCCATTATAGGCCTCTTCAAGGATGCCTGGGGCTTGTGGGATTCCATTCACCAGGGCAGGTCAGTCCAGCCTCATTGGCACCACCATGTGGGCTTTAGTTGAGGAGCTTGATGCACCAAACAAGTAGGTCTAACTTGGCTGCAACAGGAGCAAGGGTGCTATGCTTATTAGAAAGTCTCAATATTCAGTAAAACTGGTATAATGCCGAGTTACTGAAGGAAGTACAGCTGTACTGGAGGAAACAAATTCACTGGGGAGGTGTCAGGATGCCCAGCATAAGTGGTGTCTAAAGGACAGCCATACTCTCATACACTTGGAAATAGTCATACACTCACAATCATACCCACACATTCACACATAATGACACAAACAGCTTCACCCTCCTAGGCTTTTCCTTTCCCTGCACTCACAAACACACACACACACACACACACACACACACACACACACACACACACACACTTCACATACACTCTCTCAGTCAAAAGGGTAGCTTAGGGGATACCTCATGGCTGAATCAAATGCTGGTTAATGCTGCCGCTTTTATTACACCAAAGGTCTTAACATTTATTTTGAGATGAACACAAAACTTGGTATACTGCTGTTACAGTGTCATGCATTCTGCACAGTGCAGCTTCGGAGCTCAAGATCACTGCAGCACACACATAAGAACTGCACTCCAGAGGAGGGAAAGGGGAAAACTGCACGTCCTTGTTCTCTCCAGTATCAGTAGACTAAAGGTGCTTCACCACAACAGCAATTGAGGAATCTCATGTGCTGGGCAGGTGTGTTTTCAACAGTTAAACACGTGTGACTGACAAGGGATCCAGGTGTAGGTAAGTTCCTAACATCAAGAGTATTTTGGGGTAAGGATATACTCCCCAAATAGGCAGCACTGACTAAAAGGGGGCATGCTTAGCACTGCCTCTGAGCTAGGTTAAGCTACCAGGAATCCTCAAGGAAGGGAATCCTAGTTTCACAAGGAAGAATAAGACATGATGGCGCTGTCACAATAAGGCCACTAAACTCACAGCAAACGATAACCTCAGAGGATGCTCTCATAACTACAGGAAAGCAGCTCTATTCTCTCTGATGTCAGGTGCCCCTCGCTGGTTAGGCACCCGCCCTGAAACCTTCACATGGTCGTTTCTGAGCTGCACGTCACTTAGCACAATGGAGCACAGGAAGGGGCCACACAAGTCAAGGTCATGGGACATCACTACCAAACGTGGCTGACTGTTGTTGGCAAATGTCTCAGATGCCTTTCCTGGTTGGGCCGGATGCCCACGTGTGTCTGGAGAGCTAATCTGAAAAGAGGCTGGCAAAGGACTTCCTCAAGCTCCTGATGGTCTCTGCTTTGGCTTCATCCTCACTGGCTGAAGACCGGAAGAAGGAGGACTCAGAGAAGCTGAAGGCATTTGTCAGGGACTGCGACTTGCTTGAAGATAAAAACCAGAGAGAATGTGAGAGGGCGGTGTTCCCAGCAAGGTAGGAAAGGGCGATGACATGAGGATACACAACTGGAACCCCCACTCCCACCCAAGGGAGACCATGGTGATGGAAAGCCAGCAGTGGTCGTGTGGCCACGACCCTGAGAGGCTCCTGTTCTATTTTCTTCACCTTCAGTGCCGCTAAAACAGGAAAGGATGGGGGCATTGAGAGAGAGGGAGGAGGGGGAAAAGGAAGACGGGGAAAAAGAGAAAGGAGGAAAAAAAAGGGACAGAGGAAGAAGGGGTGACTCAGAGGGTGTTTCTTTTATTTAATGCTAAAGGGCCAGCAGACTAAATTTCAGAGGCACCAACTTGGTAAGTACTAATCTAGGACTCACATCCTTCCCCTCTGATGAAATGTACTAACTAGGGGCCCATGGACTCTTGCACCCTTTTTTCCATGAATTGTCAAGTAGTGGAGCCAGCATCAGAAGATCTGAGTCAAAGTTTTGTTTCTGTCACTCATTCCTTTTTTTTTTTTTTTTTTTTTTTTTTTTTTTTTTTTNTGGGTTTACAGGCCCTGGGGCAGGTCTCCACATCCTCTCTTACAGCTTCGTCTCCTCTGCACATCCACCCCCTGCTATCTGCTGTCACACCCTTCTTCCCTTGGCCGTGGCGTCTTTCCCACGGGTCCGCGGGTTTTCTCATGAGTTTCCCTTCAGCTGAAACACTACTCCTCTTCCCCACATTATGAAACCTTACTTCTACTTCAAAATCTTGCCCAGACATCTACTCAAGTTGAAGTTTCAAGTCCTGAGGTAGTTTTCTCCCCCACTGGTGCACAGGTCTTTATTCCTCTAATTGTTGGGTCCATAGGGAAACTTATCAGGGTAAATGTCTGTTTCCTGGACTGATTGTTTATTGTTCACCAGGACAGGAATTATACTATGTTCATTTTTTTTTTTTTTTTTGCATTCTCATTTACTCTTGACCTTAGGCAAGCCATTGTCTCCCTGGCATTTGGTTTCTTATTTTCGGTATGTAGCTGTTTGGTAAAATAATCTCTAGGCCTTTTTAGAGCTTTTTATATTCTGCTTTTTTCCTTCGATTCCAAAAGAACCTTTTGGCTCAGTACGACCTCTAATGCTCAATGTATGTGATCTTAAAATGGACATAATTCCCCTTTGCAGCCTTCCTCAGAGGAGCCCTAATATGAGGTCTGTGGGGCTCCAGGTGTCCAGGGGCAAGAGACATAGTTGGCCCTCCACACCCATGGATTTAACCAAGTGCAGATCAAACATATTTGAAAAAAGAATCCCAGAAAATTCTTAAAAGCAAATTTTAATTTGCCATAAGCCAAACTCTACACTGAAGCCACGTGAAAGAAGATGTGTAAACGTACCCTGCTGTAGCCTAAGTGCAAATATAGTTTATATATATACTACACAAATTTTGTATAAGGAACTTGAGTATCCTCAGATTTTGGTTTCCACAGGGGGTACTGGAACCAATCTCCCGTGGATACTGAGGGACAACTCTACTTATCAGGCCTATATGAGGTTATTAGGCAGTTTTCTAGTGGGGGAAAAAACACACAAATCACACACATTTTAGCAACCAATTTATCCTTTGAGAGAGTAGTGATTCAGAGAGAAAAACTGTGAAGGCAAGAAAGTCAAGGGGAGGCTAATCCCAGCACTATAGAAGAAGATACAAGGTCTAGTGTCTCCAGTGGCCTGTCTTCTCTCCTTCTTGACTTCTACTGTGTCTCTTTCCTGCCAATTCCTGGCTCCAGAACTCTTCTCTTGGTGTTTTAAATCTCCCAGCCCTCCCCTAAATTCAGGGTGCAGCCCCAGAAACTTCATTCTACAGAATTGTGAGCAATTTCTCTTTTCCTGCAGTGACTGTGAACAGATGTCCTGTCTTTCATTAGGGCTGGGGATGAGCCCAAACATGCTGGTCTCTGGGAGGGGGGACTCCTCTGCACCCACAGGGTGAAGGCTCTGGGTATAAGCCTCCTTCATCAGAGGCTGGCTGTATTCAATAACTTCAGCCCAGTGGCAGGGAAACCCAAAAATCTGCCCTCAAACTGGGACCAAAGTTGGCTAATGAGAGGTTGGAGAGATAAAAAAAGTCAGCATACAAAAAAAATGGGTTGAGTGGAGGTTATGGGGCATGTAAGATATGAAATGTGCCACTGGCCAGAGCTGGGGAGCAGGAGTGGGTGGTGCGCCTCCTATCATGTAGGACTAGAAGACTCAGAGGAAGTAGTCATCTGGACCACCTGAGTCCTAATCCTGGCTATGCCACTAATGAGCAGAGTGGCCTTGAAAATCAAAATTAATCAAATCTCTCTGAGCCATGTTTTCTCATCTATGCAATGACTAGACAATTTCTAAAAGTGCCTCATTTGAGCTCCAAAACCCTATAGCCCCCTCTCTCTCCCTAAAGATTCTCATCACTTTACTCTGAGAAGCACTGATGGATCTCTACCAATCTCCCAGGGCTGCAGCTGTTTGTGCTGACAGTGATGCAGAGAACTGTTTGAGGAAATTGAAGAGAGGTATCTCTGGTTCTGGGGAGAAGGTGGAACTGACCACCACCCACACCCAAGTGCTATTCTTCTCAAGTACAGCTATACTGTTTCCTAGGGGTCCTCATATCTTCCTCTGAAGCAGGACAGTGTAATTGGGGCTCCTAGAGTGACTCCTGGGAATGAGGGAACCCCAGAGGATGGAGTTGCTCGGGGTCTCTATCTGGGCCCTTCTCCAATGACCACACCAGAAACTGACCTCCTTCTGACAAAGCTGAGGGTAAAAAGTTGAAATGGATTTTACTACTTCCCTCTTTTTCTTCTGGGCAGCCTTGCAGATTGCATACCCTAAACTGTGAGTCAGAGGCAGCGAAGAGGAATAAAAATAAGTTAGAGAGAGAGATACAGAGAGAGAGAGAAGAAATGGAAAAAAGTAGGAGACAGGATTTAAAAAAAAAACCCTAAGTTAGTATAAGAATAGAAGGGGTAGTAACTCTGCCTTATTGCTACTCCCCAGGAAGAAAGGGGAGGGTCTGAGCTTCTAGCTAGACCTTAGACTTTCACTTCCCTCTTTCTTATCCTCCCCAATCAACCCTAAACAGGCCCCCAACCAAAAAAATAAAACCCCAAAACCAAAAGCACACACAAAAAAACACACCCAAAACCAAAACCCCCCCAAAACCCCCCAAAAAATATCTGTAGAGGAGGAAGAGGCCTGATTGAAGGTGCTTTCTAGCACCTCTGGAACCCAAGGTCTGTGAGGAAGGGCAGGAAGAGGGGAGGGGAAGGAGCTGCTGAGTTGTCTCTTACTTGAGCTGTGGGTGAGGCTGGGGCTTCTGTGGTGGAGCAGCCGGGGGTGGCTGGGCCTCTGCCAGGGAGCTGCTGCTGGAGGGTGCATCTCCGTGGGTGGTGGGGCCGCCCGGCAGCTGAGGAGCCGAGAAGGAGGAAGAAGAGGAGGAGGAAGAAGAGGAAGAAGGTGGCACTGATGGTCCACGGGGGAGCCGGCGTGGAGGCAGCACCTTGCCTGGGGGTTGCATTCCTTGGGGTTGCCCAGGGCCCCCTAGGTTCAGTACAAGAAAAACTTCATAATTTAACCATATCAAAGGGTTTTCTTGTTAGAATCTATGTCTCAAAGGGTGTGGTTAGTCAATTACTGAAAGGATAAGCTCTATTACAAGAAGCCACCCGAGGCTCTGAAGAGCTCTAGAGTGAGTCCCTGGTTACTCTCATACATCGATCACCACTACTGCTTCTCCTCAGAGACACAGCACCTCAGTCACAGCAGAAGTCGGGAGGACAGGGAAGAAACCATGGGGTGAGCAGCTCCAATCAGAGGTGAGCTCTCTACAGAAGACGCCCCAGACCAGAGGGACCGCACCCCTCTTCCCCAGAGGTTCCTCAGGTACAGGCCAATCTGCCCCATGATTTACTAGGAGGTCTCAAGTTCCACACAGCAGACACAGTGCAGGGCAGTGGAAAGAGCACTGGTCTGGGAATCAGAAAACCCAAGACATAGTCTATCAGTGACTCCTTGAGCAAGTCAGCAAAATTCTCTGGACCTCTGTGTTTTCAACCATAAAACTGTTAAAAAGTAAGGCCTAGTTGTACTTTTCTTTCAAGATGGTATTGTTTTAAAGATGGTAACAGATGAGAAAGTTCTTCCAAAAGTGTTCTGTGCTTTATGATCATAGACAATCACTGACTTAGATTGTGTTTATGGAGCTGACCTTCGTCCTACTCTGAGCCTACATGTATCTGATTCCCATACCCCACCAAAGCTTCATTTTAGCATTAGCTCATGCCCATGACTATGACAAAATTGTTTGTTTCCAGGAACTCTTTTGTCTTTTAGTACCATTCTCAGGGGCTCCAGTCCCTTTCAGGTGAGTATGGTAAAATTCTGCAGAAATCCAAGCCCCATTTTCCCCTGAGGATGTTGTAGGCACCACCTGGCAAAGAAGACTCCCCCACCCCCACCCCAAGAAAACCAGGATATCCTCCCAGCATGAGACAGAAAATCATCTGGTGGCCTGAAAAGGAAAAAAGCCATCCTTCCTCTGGGGATTGATAGGCAGTAAGTGTGGTGCCAATGGCTATGATTTTGCTGAGGGCAGTTATTATACTCAGGAATCAAAAGGTGTCCCCATCAACACATATGGATTAGTGGAAATGAGGCATAATTGACCTGGAAGATCTAATTTCTCAGTTGCAATCTCAGAGTCCACATCCATGGACCTACTACAAGGAGTGGCTTATAGAAACTCAACAGCAGTTAAGAGTTGTGTTGTAACTTAGAAACACCAGAACACCCGTATCCTCGGGAAAGGCAGAATTCTGTGTCTACACCACTGTGCACCCATGGCTGTCAGCCCATATCCCCACTACATGGCATGGGCTCTACTTCATCATCAATTAACAATTAATACTAGGGTTAGTTACATATAAATAAATACATAAATGAATGAATAAATGGGATTTTTCATGTTTAAGTTTCAGGTTCAAATTAGATAACTAGCAAAGATGACAGATTAGCAGATTATTTTATATTAACCAGTTTTTGCCTTCTCCAAAGTTTGGTATCACTTGTATTAGCATCTTCTCATAAAATACTGCACGTTGATAGCTTAGCATCTTGTACCAGATATCTGAAAGCTTTCCCACCTCTACGGAGATGCTTGAACAGCCAGAAACTTTACAACTTAACACTGAAGACAGATATAACTTTTCCTTTATTGCACATTAAGCTGTACAAGAGAGTCACAAAAGAGAAGTACTTCAATCACACTTCCAGCATTGGCTGAGGTTCTCCCGCTGGATCGGTACAAAAAAAGGGGACAACATCAGAAAAGAAATGGGTACAAAACACCTGGATGGCAATCCTATACTGTGATGCGGATGTCCCCCAGGCCACAGAGTTATCCCCTAGCATGCTGCCTGAGGTCACATGACAGTCAGGTTAAGCTGTCTACTTGTGTGGGGTAGTTTCTCCCCCACCCTGAGAGACCTTGGCTGATACCACCCTAGAGCCTGACTGAATTCAAATGGCAACTTTGTATTTGTGGTTCACAAATGTCACATGAAAAGCACCTGGATGTTCACACTGAGAACATGCAGAGAAGCAACACCACCATCAGCTCACCACTTGGACAAAAATAAAAAAATAAAAATAAATACGTAAATGTATTCCTCCATTCTGGAAAATGTTGCTTTATTCCTTTCTCTCCTTTGATCAGACTGGGAGGTATTTAAGGACCTAATTTTTAGGCAACCCACCTGAAAATGTGTAAATGTATATATGTATATATTTACAACAGATTGCCATCATCATCTAAAGAAGGGATCACAGACAGGAACATTCACACTCAGTGTATTTCCCTGTAGCCTCAGAATTTGCCAGCAACCAAAGAAAAAACCAGGGCAGTGCCCCTTGACACATAAATCATGTTACATACTGCCAACACTAGTTATTCCTCAGACCTGGTAATCCAGAACAGTGACATATCAGTATAGAAGTGAGAGGGAATGTAAAAGTAGAGCCAGAAGCATTTCTTCTGAAAGGCAAACTGCTGGCATAACTTCCATGAAGCATGGTGCTAGAGGAGGCCACTTGGTACCCATCCCCAGCCTGGCCAGGAGATGGCAAGATGAGGCACTGAACTGGAGACCTGGTTTAAGTAACTACCTCATCATTGCCCAGGAGCTGCATGTCAGAGGAAAGAGAACAAACTGGTAAGGGTTCTTTAAGAGCCACAGCTGTGCAGTCTTTGCCCCAAACACACATAAGGTAATATCTGAGACAGTTCTTCCCAAGAAAGACAAAGCTCTTTATTCTTTAGACTCAGGAGGGCTCTCATAACGGCTGAAAACTAAAGCAGGAGTCCACCTCAGAGTTCTGTAGGCAGTGTACTGACTCAAGGGAAATTTTAAATTTGGTCTCGTATTCTCGTGTTATGGTGCCTTGGGAGAGGCCAAAAGCAGAAATGGCCAAATCCTTCCCAGAACTTTTAGTAGCTCCCTGCATTCTGTGTCCTAAATTGCTAAAGAATCATCTCTGTACATAGGTCAAGCTTTGGGAATACGAAGCAGCCTCAGTTCTACAAAAGCACACACATGGCCAATTCAGAAACAGCAACAAAGAAGAAACAACTTGGGGGACTGAGATCAACACAGAAAATACTCACAAGTTCACTTGGATATTGCACATCAGCGGCCCCATTTTTTTTTTTTGTCTAATCTCATAGCTAATAATAAAAACAAAGGGTACACTGGGATATAAAATACAGAACACATTCCTGGAAATAGCTTGTTCTTTATATTTCATGTCATCACTAAAAACACAAGAACTCTACAGGCACAGCCAGCATATTCACATATACTCAAACTGCACCAGATTTTAGCAAATGTGGAGAAAAAGGTCGATGGCTTCAGATTCAACGGATGAAGCTATGAAAATTAGACCTTGGAAATCACTTAAACTTCTATGTAGTTACCCTAGTCATGCAGAAAGAAAGCAAAAAGCACAGTTCATTGAAGATCCCAAGCACATTCATGGAGGTAAGCAGGGGTGATTTAATCTGAGCCTGGAGGCGGGGAGGAGAGGAGCTGGGTTTTATTTTTGTGGTATTTTTTCTCCCTGGTCCACCCCCTAGTCCTGTTTCACCCCACATTATGTAATACTTTAAAAAATACTATCAAACCACCCAGAAGATAGGGTCACACTGGACTTGGGAGAGGCACAATTTTTTTGTACACTGTTGACAAACAGCCCTAGAATCACAAGTTATACAGAGAAACATAAGTGGGCATTACAAGCACGAACAGGAACAGGTAAACAACCAGACAGAGGAGCTGACACTGCATAGGAAAAACACAGTCCAGTCAGCATTGAAAGAATGCAGAAACGGCACCAATGGGAGGGTCAGTTGCTCCCCTCCCCGCTTTCCTTTCTTTCCTTATTTGTTTTTGGCTTAAAATTTCTGTTTTGAAAAATTAACTACCAATCACTTTAAGAAGCTTGGACTTGCTTTGGCCCTACTGCAATGCCATTACAGTCGAGAATATACTGTAAACAACCTTGGGGGGCTGGCCGCTGAGGTGGGGTCTTGCTCGAGTCCGGATCCTTAAGTGTTCCACTCTGGAAAACAAAAATGTAAAAGAAATAAAAAGAAAACTCTAAGCAGATTCCAAAGAGAAGCCCTGTGGCTCTGAAATATGGCTGCAGTGGGATCTGTGGGATCTAGTGGGACCTCACCCAGAGGCTTCTGCTGTTCCAGAAATGCCTCAAAATAATTTTCAGCCTCTGGGCTGATCCTGGCACACAGGTGTAGGCAGCTTAGAACCACTCTGATACACAGTGTATCACCCCCCTTTTTCATTTCACCCCCCTTTTAGATTTATAAGAAACTTTGAGTCTTCCATCAGCATCTGGTTTCTTCTATGTGAGCTGCCTGACATCCAGCTTTCCCTCATAATCACAGGCCCGGATTCCTGAAGAAAAGGGAAGAATTAACACCAAACTCAATAGGGCAGGCTATGCTTTTGGTGACTCCAGAGACTGGAGAAGTGGTGGTGTTGGTGAGGTGGGGGGAGCAGAGAGGGCACTGGACCAGGTGATGAGTCTAGATTTGGCTCACTTCTCATGTGGAGTTAACTCCAGGGTGGGATCAGCTCTGGAGCTGACTCAGGGGTCAGAGCCACTCTTTGGGCTGTCTAGAACTCCCATAGGGAGGGACTTGAAAAAGGGGGCAGTGTTTGCTTTCCAGAACCATTCTTACCCAGAGTGAAGGAGTATGATGTTAATGTTTGTAGAAGTACTCAAGGCCAAGCTGTTTCCCTCTCAGATAGCATCATTACATTTTACCCAACAACATGGCTTCACTCCCATGCTTCCCCTCCTCCCAGCTGTGATTCTGATTATGCCCTATCAGGATCAAAGATGCATGTGACTTCAGTTTGTCTAACATTTGTATGAAAGGCAGTGAGCATTTGGAGCTTGAATTCAGCACAAGGGAAATGCCCTATAAAGCCTAAGGGATGCCAATTGTGCCGATGATGTCAGAGAGGGGGCTTCTGAGGCAAGGCTGTGAAACGGGCTGAGTACGTCTTCAGCACTCTCCCACTTCCTCTTTTAGTGCTCCTCTCCCCTTGTGACATGCCCCCCCAGCCCTACTGCTACATTAAAACTGTTCCTCCTCCTGTTCCCCATTTCCCATGGGGCTCCAATTCTGGCCATCTATCTTCTCTCCAGCCTATTGAGGCCCATTTTCAGCTCTACTACCAGGAGAGCAGAAATGTTATTCTTTCTAGTATTCTTTTAATAACAGCAATGCCTAAAACTGTTGTACTAAGAGAATTTCAGATAGAAGGAGGTAGGGAGCCTTTGAAATGTCCATAGTGCCACCACATTAGAAGGATCAATTATATCTATAATCCCCAATCTCTCAAAGAACACCAACACTTCTTTCCCTTTCTTACAAGCACTCTCATGGTATCCATGAGACTTGGTCTGAGCCCTGGCACTGAAATACCCACACCCAATAAGCTAGCTAGAAAACCACTGCATCCAGTCAGCCATCATTGTTTCCCTCTTGGCATCTAAGATTCACCATCTTCTCTTGACCAGCCCTGATCAGGCCTATATCATGTCTTGCTTAGACTACTAGAATAGTCTCCTCATTCTTTAGTCTCTTCTCTTTCCAATCTGTCTTCTCCATGGCCACTTATTATCCTTCTAAACTCCTTCCCTAACTTTAACACTCTAAATAATGATAGCTAACACTATATATGTGCTAGGTAGTATGGACACTTTTATGCAGTATTTATCTTAAGCTCCACAACAGCCCTATGAGGTGGGTACTATTATCAACATCCCTAATTTTAGATAAGGAAACTGAAGTGCATCTAAGTTGCACTGTATGACCCTGGACTAATATGTCTAGGGTCATACAGTGGTGGCTAATGCAACTGGGATGTGAGCCCCCACAGTCTGATGCTCACCTTTTCTTCTCATTGCTTACAGAATAGCATCTACATTCTTCAGGCTGACATCAGGAACTTTCTTCAGCATGGTTGGAACTGACCTTTCTAGCCTTCTCTCTCCCTCATGTCCTAAGCACACCTGCTCCTACCAGGCCTGACCCCTCACTGTTTATTCTCTAGTCTAGGCCACTCCATACAAATACATTTTCTCCTTTTCTACCAATCCAGTCCAACACATCCTGGAGGTCTAAGTAAAGTTCTACCCTACCCATAAAACATCCCCATCTGACTGCCTCTTTCGATTGTTGTCTCCTCTCTGAAATCCTATAATAGCACTTAGGAGACTTACACTACTGAAGGGGACATTTGCAGTGCTGTTTTGTTATCCTGAAGACTGCGATGATGCTTCTAAGAAGACTGCCAGATCCTTGAGGGCATGGACTACGTGTCTTCATCTTTTCATGAATTACTAACAAATACAGTGCCCCCTTTTTTTTAAAGAAAAATTGAGATGGGAATTATTTATTAAGATGTTAAAATAGCTCTGGCTGTGCCCTGGCCGGTGTGGTTCAGTTTGTCGGAGCATCATCCCGTACACTGAAAACTCAAGGGTTCAGTCCCCATTTGGGTGCGTACAGGAGGTAACTGGTTCAATGTTTTTCTCTTACATCGATATTTCTCTCTCTCTCTCTCCCTTCCTCTCTCTAAAATAGCCCTGGCCGAGTGGCTCAGTTGGTTGGAGCATTGTCCGGTACACCAAAAGGTTGCAGTTTCAATTCCCAGTCAGGGCACATACCTAGGTTGCAAGTTCAATTGGGATGTATACAGGAGGCAACTGATTGACATTTCTTTCTCACATCAATGTCCTCCCCACCCCCCTTGTCTCTAAAATCAATCCTCAGGTGAGGGTTAAAAAAATACAAGTTAAAATAGAATTGGAAATATATTGGAATATTCGAGACTATTGTCATTTTGCCAACATCATCAAGCACAGGCCTGAGCATATAAGAGGTCCTTAGTAAAAGCTTGGTAAATAAATGAGCATGCAACAACAACTACAATAAAAATCTAAAATGGAGCAGAATATAAGTCTTTTACTAGAAAAGTATTAAACCCTAGATGTTAAACCATATTTTATTTGGTATCAACTCCAGTGAGCAGCAATAAAAATGCTCAGGTTAGTGAATTAAACTTGAGGCCTGCTACAGGTACCTGTGTATCAGGCATGGAAGGTAAAGTCCAAACAAGCCTCAAAGAAGCAATAATTGCTTCCATCAAGACTGTCTAACCCCGCCAAGTTTGGGACACTTCAGGCCCAACAGTTCTTTCCCATTGAGATCTCTTCTTTCTTTTAACCTGGCTGTCAACTGGATGAGACGTCTGGGGCCAGGATATAGTGTTTGGAAATGGGAGCATGGGATACAAGGGTTGTCTTTTTACACACACACACACACACACACACACACACACCTAGGCCTACTTTAAAATTGGGTAACAGAGTGACTAAGGAATTAGGCTTTTGGGTTAGAAAGACCTTTGGTTAAATCTAAACCTTCCACTTACTACCTTTGTGATCATGGGCAAGTTATTTTGCCCTTCTGCACCTGCCTTTCTTCAAAAGGTTTTTGTGGCATAAAGTGAGATTGATTAGACATTTATAAGCATCTGGCCCCAGTAAGTGCTAAATAAAATACAACAGATGCTGGGATGGTGATATACAGAGGCCTTTTCCTCTGAAGCGCCATTGTGTCCTAGGTCTCACTCCCATGATGAAATACCACCACCACCTGCAGTGGCCTTCAGAGAACTTTATTCTGTTGTAATGTTACGATCTCCTCTGGGCTCCCTGACAAGCCATCAGTGTCATGGTCTCATTGCCTGAGAGGGATATTCAGATGAAAGACAGCAAAATTCATACGCTCTGTTGAGCTGCTAGACTGGCTCTTGCCAGTCCCCTTTCTCAGGGCTTCACTCTGTACCACTGATGGCTGCTGATAAATTACCTTGGACATTGGTTGAGAACATTTTAAGATGTTCTCCTCCCAGAGAATTGTTATTTTCAAAGACAGTTATGGAAGACCATAGAGCACAAGGGCAGAACCAGGGCCAATGGGCAGAAGTTCCAGAAGGGTAGACTTTCACTTATTAGAAGAACTTTCTACAGTAAAAATAGTGCAAGAGGTTGTCTTGGGAAGTGGGCGTGTTCATGTAGAAGCTAGAGAATTACCTGACAAAGATATTGCAGATAATATTCCTTCATTATGAGATAGATTAAATGAACACCACAGTTCCTTCCAACCCTGAGAATCTATGATTCCAGGAAAACCTTTAAAATCCTATATGTAAAACTCTAATGGGAGAACTCCAGACACTCACAGGATGAACTGACAGGAGTAATTATATCATGAAGGCTGGCCCCCAGCTCTTCTCAGCCACAGAAGTATACAAATAAGATACTCAAAGATGAACTGAGCCCAAAAGTTCCCTTCCAAAAGTTTAAGGGGAAGAGCTCCCAGAGGTAGTCCTTTGGGCTGGAGCCTGGGAATGTGCCTTGGCCACCCTTGTCTGGCGCCTAGGGAGTTCTCCTGTCCTCAGCTCCACAAAGGGTTATGGACTGAAGACTTCCCAGGGGCAACAGGAGGCGGGAGAGAGTCCCCTAGGACTGTCCTGTGCCAGGCTGAGACTCTCTGGCTCCACCCACAAACCTTCTATCTGCTGGGACTGAGGGCCTATTCCCTGTGGGGATTGGCTACCATGAGATCTGTCTCCAGTCACCAAGAGCCACATGGGATGCCAAATTCCACAGAAGTCTGGCCACTCTGGCGTCACTGCCAAAGTCTGGCTTATAGCCAGCTCATTGCAGGAATTCATGGCCAGACTGAGCTGCAGTTTCCCTCAGGAAGTTGGGTTGACTTAAACAGGTAAGAATGTGAAGTCCAATGCTTGTGCCCAGCTGCACACAAAAAAGAGGGTAATAAATGGCCTTATAGCAGCATAAAGAAAAAACCCCAATAGCTGTGGGCTTAGAGACTGACAACAAGCTCAGAGGGTGTCAGTTTATAATGTTCTGCCAAAAGTCTGATGCAGCTGGTGGTGCATTGGTGTCTCAAAAAGGGGAGATTACAGGTCCACTTCTCTTTAGGCTGATAAACCTCA